TCCCCCCTCAGCAGCGCTTGCACCCCTTGAATTCCCGCTCGAGACACCGGCCAAGCTCTCCTGACCTCGGCKGCAACCAGAAACTTTGCATTAATGCTGCCGTCCCAGTAATCTGCCAGGGAAAGCGATATAGAAACGTATCCGCTGCCAGAAAGCTGCTTCCCCGACAGGGGATAGGAAAGAATGGGGAAGCAGGGAAGAGCAATCTAACACCCTTCAACACTTTCCAGACACTGGCAGCAGGAGGAGGGGGAAAAAAAGAAGGGGAAAAAAGAGGGCAATATCTATCAGTGATTCAGGATTTAAACACAATGAGCAAAAATGTCTTCCAGAGATACAGAGGCTGGGAAAGCCTTCCTTTTCCTTCCTTCCCTTTCCTGGGAAAGAATATCCTTCACCTAAGTCTGCAATGGAAAATTTTTATCTTCAGAAGYTTCTCATAAACACTAGAATTCAAAATGCATCAGAAAAAATACCCCGACGGATGCTAGTTTCAGGCCTCCTATTAACTCTTTCAAAGGCAGCATGAAGTTGGTTAAGTCTTGCTTACAACTATGGGCCACAAAAGCCATGATCCTAGAAGGATCYTAGCACGACCGCTTCCCTGTTTTACTGTAGAAGCTTCCTTGTCTTCCAGCACTCACTTCCACCCATGCTGTTGTGCACCGTGAAGTGACGCGAGTGACAAGGCCCGGCCTGATCCCTGCGGGGAACCTCGGCTCTCTCTGCTCTCTCTTGAGATGAAGCAGTCGTCAGCTTGGTGCTTCACATGTGAAGAACCATGTTGTATTTTGCCATGGGAATCTTCTCAGAAAGCACCCTTTTTCCAAAGAAAAACTTTTCATGTGTGTTAAGTAACAAGAGCTACACCCAAAGCAGGTGTTTTTTTAAGAGAAAGGCAGCAACTGTGAACCAGATCTGCCTTTCCTACTTTTTTTTCTTTTTTTTTTTTTTTTTTAATCCTCTTTGATGACTTTGCTTTGCACAATATATGTGCTGCTTTGTATTTTGTTTGCTTACAAGTATCTAGGCAGAGCTCCAATGCTTTGATGCGAGTGGCCCCAGTAAAAGTTCAGCTCGGCCTGTGAGTGTCACCACCAGCAGAGAGCTGGGCGGGTGGGGAGATGCATGTGAAGTGCAGACATGCAGGGTACATTTTCATGTCCACTGCAAGGATATGGTTGCAGCCAGTCAAGCAAGTAGAAGCTGAGTTCCAGAAAGGTTCTTGGTATGAGCWGGATAGAAACCCAACAGGTGAAGTGCTCAGGTTCCAGAGAAGCATGGAAAAACACAACTGTCTTCACACTATAAGTATATATTTTTTCCCCTTCCTCAACATGAAATGAGAAAAATGCAGCAATAGAGTGAAAATACAGTTAAAAAACCCTTCCATGTACAAGTTCAAATATTTAGTGAGAAGATTAAGGCARAGACCAAGACTCTTCTGTACAAAATTTTTTCATACTAAGAAATAAAACAAAAAGAGAGAGCAAGYGATCGTGCACGTGCACACCCAAATGTAGAGAATGAGATGTTGCACTTCCATGTTATTGTATGGAATGTGCATGAGCTCAGTTGTGGTTTTAATTTCATGTTTGTTAGCAGGACTGGCTTCTTGTGGCGAGCACTGGCTGGAGGCAGCCGTTGGAGACACGGACACAGCTGTCCCACGCCGGCAGCACGGACACCCCCCYGCACCGTGGAAGGGGCAACCAGAACAGGGGAGCCCATGGGTGCCCCCCGAGCTCCCCCTCCAGCAGGAGTGCCTTGGGCCCCTGAGACCCTCCAGGGCTCCGCTTGGCTAGCGGGGACGGAAGGGAAGGGCATTACGTGCGTTTCATTTTTGCACGTGACAGAATTAAGCACTTCTCAAGTATTTTCCATTGCTCGAGTGCGGGGAGGAGTGTGCTTAAATTGGTTTTGAGTCAATATTAATCGGAATTCAACCTTATGGGCCTGGGAGGCCAAGGGCTGGTAGAAAAGGAGACCTAAGCTTTGAGATACTGAAGAGAAAAGGCTCTCAAGTGCATGCTTAAAATGGTATCACAGCAGCGAGCCTCTGTTTAGGCTTCAGGAAGAGGCTCTGGCAGTTCCTCCACTACTGCAACAACAGCTCAAGGTCACTACATGAGCCACATGGGAGGGGAAAACAGACTGGGAACAGCACTAGCCAAGTAGTTAATCCTTAACAGAGGATTTTTATTATTATTATGCAGGTTAAACAGCTATGGATAATGCTGTCTACCTGTCTTTATTTTAGGGTTTTTTTTGTTTTGTTTTTAAACTATCATTTGCTCTTGTCGTGTTCCTCCAACAGATCAGGAAGCAAGAATGATGCAGTTTTACCGTGCCCCCCTATCTTTGCACTTTGAGGTTCCCGACTGGAATTGCCGAATAAACCCATAAATCCTCCAGGATACATTTTTTTCCTCTTTGGCAGCTTTGCCTTTCAAGTGAGCTCTGCTCTTATTAAAAGACTCAGGCCTTCCTCAGGCATCGCTGTCTTTGAAGATCAAACTCCAACTACATTTTATGGAAAAGATCTTTCAGTTCATACCTTTTCCAAACTGCATAGTAGGTTTAAATGATTACATGAGACACTCTGTTTGAATTTGTATAGTTTCATGTTTTAAAAATACATTTTTCCTTTCTTCTGGGCATTCTTGAAATAAATGTTCCGAACAGCGACAATCCTCGTTATTAAAGAAAAATAAAGTCAAGGCTTAAACAGGATAGTGTAAATTATGAATAAAAAGCCTCTTCCCGCAAGGGAAAATTACAAATCACAAGCCATTTCTTCTCAATATCCATGTAACAGAAAGACAGGAGTGAATTCGGCCCCAGACTGAAGAATCACAGAACCACAGAATCGCTGTGGTTGGAAAAGACCTTCAAGATYATCGAGCCCAACTGCAAGCCCTGCAGCACCCTGCTGCTAAACCCCGGCCCCAGGCGCCTCATGGACACGTCTCCTGAGCACTGCCGGGGACGGCGACTCCCCCATGTCCCTGGGCAGCCGGTCCCAGTGCTTGGCCACTCTTTCCATGTAGAAATTCATCCTGCTGTCCGACCTGAACCTCCCCTGGCACAACCTGAGGCCATTTCCTCTTGTCCTACCTGTAGTTATTCTGGAGAAGAGATCGACCCCTGCCTCACTGCAACCTCCTTTCAGGTTGCTGTAGAGAGCAATAAGGTGTCCCCTGAGTCTCCTCTTCTCTAGACTAAATAATTCCAGCTCCTTCTTGCTATACATTATGCAAAAAGAATTATTGCAAAGAAAAAGAACAATATTACATTTTCTTCTAAAACTTAAGCTTAACAGTGTTTTTTTTTTTTTTTCCTTAAGTGTCTGGGAAAGTTTGCAGTTTGGAGTCAGCCACATGTTACTTATCAATGCTTCAAATACAGGGTGAATAAGAAAGACCATGTCTGGTTCCTTTTGCAATAGGGAAAATCTCTTTTGAAGTCTTTTTGAGGGACTGACAGGGGAGAAAGTGTCAGGGAAAGGATCTGACAGGTTTTGCACAGTCAGGGGCAAGAAAACGTCTGGAGCAAAATCTCTTGTCTAAATTGGGCAAAGAGATAGAAGCCTCTCCTTCAGCAGTGGAAGAACCACATGAAAGGTTTGGGATTCACTTCTATCTTTTTTTTTTTTTTTCCAGCTATGCATGAATCCTTCTTATGCTTTTTTGCTGGCTTCTCATCTTACCAGAGTCTGTGGGAGAGGTCAGTGCACAGCGGCAGGGAGGGGAGCGCGCGCTGGGGCTCCCTGTTCAGCAGACGGTCTCCTGAGTGCCCAGGAAAACGACCTGCATTTTAGACACCTCAAGCATGACAGAAGGCTTGATTGTAAAGGTGGAAGAGACTGCATGAAGGTTCTTAAAGCAGAGTCAAATAGCTCTGTAATTACTCTGCTTATGGATGAATCACTTGATATTGCTGTTTTCCTCTGGGACACAACGTCTCTCCTGTATTTCTGATTCTGTTCAAACAACTACCTTGAGAAGTTTTGTGTTGACTGCAATTTAAGCACGGGTATCCACTAGCAGGTCAAAAAGAGRGACACATTTCATTTTTATCAGAACTAAACTAGAAAGCTTCATATTCTGGAGACTCCATTTAGAAGGAGAGCACTCATTTCCCCCCTCCCTCCAATCACAAATTATTAAAATGTACACAAAAACAGAGAAAGAGAAGCAAAAAAAAAGTTTAAGACTAGAATGCTGGCAAGGTCTTTGAAAGATTATTATTTTAAAACAGTTCTACCATCATTACCGTATCAGCCATGAGAACATGAATGACACTCAAAACACTTTCTGTCTTATTTTAATCAAGTATCAGAAAACTGTAGAAAATGGCAGTAGACAAAATAGATAGCTAAGAAGAGGCACTAAAATGGTTAAAGCACTGCAAGAATATTTGCTGCTAATTAAGACCACAGTATAATATATCCTACATATACACCACAGTAACACCATAGTCACAAGAATATKAAAAATGAATAGTTCTGTACATCTAAAATACAGGCTACTACACAAGTTTTGGTGACTTTAGATGCCTCCTTTTGCATCTCTAGGAATCTGACATGCAGTGGGTACAGGATGTGCTAAATTGTAACTTACGGTAATGAACATCAAAACCACAAGCAGTAGATTCACTYATGTCTGATACTGATTATCAGTTAGCTCATTCATTTGAAAAAATAAGCTTCATCTCAGTGCAGTTAGATTTTATCGAGTATCTTGATATCCCTACACAAACAAAGCCCCATATTTAGAGCCAACACTAAGCAATTTTGTTTAGATTCTTGCATGCAATCCAAGCTGATGTGCAATTTCTCCCTGCAAGTGTTTCTTTACATAAGAGATTAAAAAAGCACAAACATATACATTAATAAAGCAACTTTAAAGTGGCAACTTGCAACTGTCATCTTCCCCATCACCTCCCCCATTAAAATCATGAAMCCAGCCAAGAATTCAGATGATAAAATGTTTAAGTACCTTGATTTTTTCCACAGCTCTTYGTGCTCTATTAATGCAGTTGACCTGCAATGAAGAAGAGAGAGGTCACTGACTCCTGCTTTTCAACATTGCTCTAATATACCATATACATCAAGACTATTAAGAAACATTAAGACTATTGAAAAGGAGTTCAAGAAGCTTTTTTGTCCATAATATTTCCTGAATTTTACTCTATTTCCTACATTTTACTTTGACTGCATATAAAACATTATTTGCAATGAATAACCTAGAAGGGAAGCCCAAYTGAAGAGCCAGGTGGTGAACGCCTGGGTTTGGAACGAGGACATTTTGCCTAACCCAGGGCGGGTGACGGAGCAGAAAGCGAAACGGAGCCGATCCGCTCARATCCGAGGGCAGAAAATTCCCGGAGCAGCCGCGGGGCCGGCCGCGGCCCAGCGGAGGCGGCATCGCGCGGGGCCCATGGCCTGCGGCGCTCGGCGGGTGCGGGCCGCGATCCCGCTTTGAAGTTCGCCCTCTTGGTAACGGCTGCCGAGCAAGGTCCAGGGGGAAACAACCGCCTCCCTCTGGCCCTTGTAGACAACCCCAAAGCAGCGAGTGCGCCTCGTGCTTCATGTTTGATCTTGCGAGTAAAGTGAATAAATAAATAACACGGCCACGTGCTTCCGTATCCCTTGTCTTCCCCTTCGTAGCCCTTCAACCAAAACCACCCCAATGTATTCCCATCCTTTCCCCTCTCCTCCTCAAGCACCACTCAAAATTCTGAGGAAAATCAGTTATTTTCAGGAAGGAGAGGGAAGACGCTCCACAGTTTTATACAGGCATACCAAGCATGTCACAGTAGAAGAAATCTATACCCGCACAGCAGACATTTTATGGATAGTGAAAATACTAAGATGAGTTTGTAACTGGGCTTAGATCTTTAACTCATTTTTGTCCCTATGGTTGTAAATGTATTTCAAGCAACAGTTCTTTCTTGTTACTATTCCAGGACTCTTCCACAGCAGATTGTCAAGCATTATTTTTTGGATGACCTTAGTTTATTGTACTGCAAATGCTTCACCAGTCTCTGCTATTTCCCCATCGTTACTAAAGCCTGGATTATTTCATGATCTCCAAATTTTAACCCTAAAGAACAAACTTCTGAAGAAAAAAAAAAAAAAGGGCACAAAAAATAAGTAGGATTATACAAAATGTATTGAAGATACACTACTTTTGCCAAGATACTTCAAAACAAAACCAAATTAAAAAAAACCCGAAGAGTGATAGTTGAAATAAAAAGAGCTATTATTACTATGTGCTCAAACTGTGTTTTCCCAGAATTGCTTTGTTAGAAAAAGTCCTTCTCTCACTCGCTTGAAAATTGGATGTGGCAACAAATACAGAAATATTTTCTGTATGCCTATATTTAGGAAGGAACAATGTATTCAGCACAAATATGGCACAGGCCTATTCCAACTACTTTTAGGTCTCACGGGACCACAAGCTTAAGAGAGGCAGACTCCTGTAGCAAGGTGCTCTTCTCTGGGAGGTTAGGGCACATTTGCTCCTGTTCCTGTCCTGCCAACTGCTCCCAGGAAGGGCCTGCAAAGCTAGAGCAGCTTCTAGAAAAGCAAAGCATGGGGAACGAGGGAGGAAATGTACTGGCATCAAAATGGCTTGTTTAAAGTAGAGGCACTCCATAATRCAAGTAATATAAGCACTTCAATGTGACTACTCATTCTTGGCCTGAGCACAGTTTATTTTTCATCTACTTCACACTACCAGAGATAACAGAACGTGATTACTATGGSAAGTTCCTTATATGTTACTTTAAGTGTAGCCGTCATGCACAGTAAGAGCAGGCAGCTTCTGTTTTTACAGACCTTCTATAGCTCTATCAGATGTGAAAATTTAATATTCTCCTTAATAGATCCATTCCTGACAAATTTTCCTAGTGACAAGGGTTGACAGAAGATAAAAGTCCATGTTTATTAGGGCAGATTTAGTCCCGTGCCCCTCTAGTCCCGTCTGAGCACGCTTGGGTTACTAGCACAGAGCAGCCCAGTACCCCTCATTTCGGCTGGGCCACACTGGCCCTGTGCAAACACCCAGCACCAAGTCCTGGAGGAGCCAAAGCCTCCACAGCTACTGGCCAAAGGAGGCCACAACAGAACCAGCKGAAACAAGGAACCTTAGGACATGGAAAACATGGCATACACCTTTGAGTAGGTATTTCTGCTGTTTGTCATTAGTTTTTCGCTCCCTTTCTTCTCCCCTTCACATCCTTTCTTCTCAGAGCCACATCTACACACTTCGCAATCTCTTCATCCCTCCCAAATACAAAATTCCCATTATAAAAATAAACAAAACACCTCCCCAACTGTGTTGGTGCTACAACCCAATTCACTCTGCTTAACTGGTAGGTATCTTCCCATTCCCCTTCCACCCAGCTCTTCAAGACAGGGTAGAAATTAAGTAGGAACCAACCAACAGTGGGGTCTTCATTGTGCTTAGCCTATTTAGGTCATGCTCCTTAGCCACTATAGTGAACATTAAACTGGAGTATTATATCCAATAACATAAGAGGAGGGAGGAAGAAAGTAATTTTGAAGAGGATTTAACAGTCACACAGTAAACAAACAACCCAGCGTCAGCTCTCAACTCCAAGAAAATAACAACTAATTCTTGGAGGAACCAACTAGGAAGGGATATGGATTTTAACTCGAGATATGGCACCAGTCAGACAAATACAAAATATGAGCAGCTTCAAAAAAATTGGAATGCATCCGAATTAGTGCATATGTTAGAAATTACACATATTATACAAATCCTAACAGGATATTGAAAATACAAGTACAAATTAAATGTTAGGAAAGGGTTTTACCCATAGGAAGAAAAGATTTTTGTGTCAAAGATACCATGTCTCTTCTTGAGAATTATTAAAGTGTAAAACTATTTGGTTATTGGAGCTCTCTCCTCCCCCAGTTCAGAGAAGCAGTGTTTTAGAGCTGCATCTAGAAACTATGAGTAACCATAATGATGGATGGCCAAGGAACTGTTGGGAGATCCCAAAGAAACACCCTCTGTAATGGAAACAATCTTCAACTACTACCATTATAATGGTTGATCAGCATAGTTTAGGAACTTGCCCTTCTGGTTTGATCCAAATCWTTGAGTATAAAAAGACAAACTTTAGTAAATACTAAAGACAATTCTGAACTCCAAAGTGAAGAACTAGCAACTTTTCATTTAAAACAAAAGAAAAAACATCAAACGATTGTGCAACACTAAGAAAACCCTTAAGGAAACAATTGGGAATTTTTCATAACATGGTATTTCCTTATACCGCTGACCACAGGAATGCAAACAGTTCCACCAAACAGCGATTTCTTCATTGGAAACAACTGACAAACTAACCATCTTTTCCATCCTTTCCACTCTCAGCTCTCAGCATACAAAACAGATGATATAATAGGATACAGAAGTGTCACACCATCAGTACTAGAGCCACAAGGTTTCTTTGCTTAAAAAAAGAAAGAAACAAAAAACTAGCAGCTGAGAGACTATACAGAAAAAAAATGCTCCAAAGACAAACCAAGTATTTGAAAAACAAGGAAAGCAGGATTTGTTTACATTTAATGACTGATCCTGTTTGTCTAATTATTTAATACTATTTTTCCACTGCAGTTTCCACTGATCTGTTGGGGTGCTAGCAGTACCTTGGGGAAATCCATCAACTAGACACAGACACCTAAGCCCCAGTGAAACTCAGCAGAATTCCCTAATTCTGCATCAATCCCCTCCTACAACATTCCCCAACAGCAAGACAAGCAGATCTAGCAAGAACACTGGAGTGAAATTGAGATAGATGCTCAATTTACACAGTGCAGGGGGGAACACCATTGCAGTTTACCACTGTAATCTTCCAAAAAATCCCTGCTTTGTTCTAATGAACAGACTGCCCTCTAACTTTTCACTTTGCAGTAGTTATCATTATAGGCAACGGCACTTTGGATRCTGAAGATCCACCTTCTGAATGGCCATCAGACTCTAGATGAGGAGACCAAGCATCAATCCAAGCAGTGCCCAAGAGGAAAYGCAAGACAAGCCTTACCGAGGAGGGACATAATTCTCTTGACAGCTAGTTAACAAGCACCGAGAGGGAGCTCATTCTGCCATGGAAAATGAAGCATGTACTCCTTGGCAGGCTTGATGTGAGCAAAGGGGCAGAGAGGCCCCTGAAATAGACCAAGAGGAAGAAAGAGATGAGCATAAAGTAGGGTTAAAAGTAACAGTAGACAAGATCCAACGGTAAAAATAGGGAGTATCATATTCTTCAGAGAGGGACCAGGAATGCAAAAATGTTCTAGTTATCAGCACTCTGACAAATCTCCATCATCACTAATTTGCGGCTCAATTAGGCCAAGATTTTAATCAGGGCTGCAACTGTACTTCCTTCTCTCTATTACAGCTGAAGGAGACCAAGGGGGACAAGTCACAAATAGAATAAAAGCAAAATGTGCCCAAAAGACCACACTATTTTCAGAAGAGAAAACAAATCAAATCTTGAAAGGCTGAAAGTTTTATGTAATTAGTGTGCCAAAAAAGCGAAGAATCTTGGATGGGAGGGAAGACAGACAAATGTCTTAACGTCAGAAGGAGACAATAAAAGAATTTGCTTGTGTGGGAGGTTGTTTATGGTCTATGACAGTGATTATTACACTGGTAGTTAAGGAAAGACTCTTCCAGATTTCCCAAAAAAAAAAGCAGGATAGTTTGAAGAGATGCACATTGAACTTCCCTTTCTTTATAGCACATTCTCAACACTTGATGGAAACTCACCTTACTGAGCACTGTGCTACCCTGCTTTAGGATACCGGCAATTAGATTTTAAAGGTTTTTATATGAAATATGTTCTTCCATAGTATCTGAGATGAGCGTGGTTTGAGGCCCTGCATTTTGCACTCTCGTGCAAATGCGGCTCTCTCGTGAGTTCCTCCTGACGTCCTTTCCTTAGGTGAACCGATGACTCAAGTGCAGGAACAGGAGCGCAACGTGTGGGACGTCAGCTCCGTGTTGGAGAC